GAGGGGTAGGGGAAGGGAAAAAAGGGAAAGGAAAAAATATGAGAAGAGGAAAAAAATGGAAACAAGGTCTTTGCAAATAGGGAGGGGTGGGGGGGGGTGAAGGGAGGGCAAGAGAAGGGGAAAAAAATGAGAGCCAAGAGACTCATGTAATGGTACAAGATCCCAATGATGAATGTAACTGTACTGTATACCTAAAATGTACCAATAAAGTTAATGGGGGAAAAAAAGAAAGAAAATCCTTGCTCATTCCTTGTACACTTGCTATGTGACTTATTTCCCCATTGGATCCCTATTTAATCAATATTACCTAAGCAACTATACTTGTCATAATCTTATAAGTTGTTCAGTTTTGTCCACCTTGTGATTTCTCATTGGATCAATATTACCTAAGCAACTGTACTTGCAGTCTTACTAGTTGATTATAGTTTTATCCCACCTTGAACCCACCTCACCATGAGGCTGTGTCTTATAAAACACCTTTGAGAAGTTGGGTGAGTGGGTAACCCACTTTCCCATCCTCCTTCTGTCTCTTTAGACAGAAACTTTCTTTCTCTCAGTAAGTTTTTCCTACTCTTAATCTCCATTGTTCCTAGAATTCATCCTTCAATTTTACAGAACACGCAAGTTTAGGATACCTAGCAGGTTTGGGAGTTACATCTCTTCCCCATATATCAGGATGAGTAAATCTAGAGATCTAAGGTACAGCATGAGCACTATGTTCATTGAATGTTAATATTCACAACTGAATGTTAATTTGCTTCACTGTGGTAATTTTACTATGTATATCAAAACAATGTTTTATTCCTTAAATATATACAATAAAATTTTGAAGAGTTGTCAGCTAAGCTTGAAATTTAAGACCTGCAGGTACTTTTTAGTTTTTAAAAAACGATAGGTCTCCCACTACCTCAGCAGCTATTATGTGTAGTAGCTGCCCTCTTCCTATCGTGCCTTGCCCTGTGTGACATCATGCCAAGATGGTTGCTCCCACCAAAGAACAAACCCTTCTTCCCAGCATGCCTCTGCTCCCGCCTAGAGAGTAACCTAATACTTGATCATCTCCTACCAGCTAGTGATGTCACCGGCTCCTCCATTCCCTAGTCACTACTTCATTCAACCCCACCTCAGCCTCTACAAACCCCACCCCAGTCTCTATAAAAGACTCTCCCTGCCCTGGCCATATTGCCTTTGTCTCTCCTTTGATCAGAGACAGCCCGACAGATCTATTCCCCTAATAAAGGCTTGCTGTGGCCTGGTCTGGTCTTGGTCTTCAACCTTTTACTGACAAAAAGCATATAAAATCCATCATTTAAAGGATAGCATAAGTAAATATGGGTACATTTATAAGCATAAGAATTGTGGAGAACAGAGTGATTCTTAATCTTTCTAAATATTTGAAAATAACCACAAACCTGAGCTCTGTGTGTGTGTTTGGTATTAGTGACTGAACCCTGGGCCATCTACCACTGAGCTATATCCCCATCCCTTTTTTAAAAAAGAAGGAAAAACAAGTTTCCCCAACCTAAGCAATTAGACCTTAGACTTCTCCCTCCTCATGGCTGTTGTTCTTGCTCTATTACAAATAAAAGTAGTAACTTTATCCCTGTAAGGTTTTACAACCTCCTATTCTCATAAAATCCTGTTTTTACCTGACAAAGGACACCACGATATGCTAAATTACAAAAAAAAAAAACGGTCACAACTTGACTAACTGGCTCTGTTTTGCTTCTGTCCGCATGTTTGACACTGTTAGGGAAACCAATCAATCTCCTCTGCAATATATAAAAAACTAGAGCTCTTCCTTTGTTCTGGGCTCAGCCTTTGGACACATTTTCCCTATGTGCAACTGCTCATTTTCCTCTATGTGTAATACAAGAACTATCTCCATCATTTCCAGAGACTGATCCTGTTGCAATTTTTATTTTTCCCACACTATAATCACAAATGAAATTATAAAACAGAAAAAATTGATAAGGAAGTTAATTGAATACTTAACTGATTTTATGAATTTGTCTTATATACACACATAAAAATATTCATTATGGGTCAAGTTGGAAAAATAAAATGGTTAGTTCTCTCAAATTTTCTTTTTTGATTTTCAGAAAAATATAAGTTACAGAGAAAAGGAGGTACACATTAATGTTTTTCCATAGACAAAGCAGTCAAGAACAAAAGACTCAGGATTGAAATTCTATCACTGGTAATTTTGAAAGGAAAAAAATCATAAAACTTGAATATAATTCATGATTAGGAGTAATTTTAGAAATAGTCACAAATTCATATCTGAACAGCCACTCAGTATTTGAGCCTGCTTTATAAAATCCTTTCCAGACATTCATTTCCAGGGGTGGGATGCAGCTCGCTGGTATAGCACTTGACTAGCATGCTAGAAGCCCTGGGTTCAAATCCCCAGTACTTGACAAAGCAAAAAAACCAAAACCCAACAAAAAACTGACATAGGAACTTTCTGCCACTTCATTCCAAAAAATAGACTAGATGACAAAAAACTGATTTGGATAACACTTCACGATATGTCTCTGTGCTTTTTGTACCAAGGATCAAGTCAAGACAAATAAACAGTTTTAAAAATTCCTACTTGGCTTTAGTTTATTAAAAATTCAACAATCTCCCTTGACTAAGAAAGTCTACACCAGGGTGCATGTTGGAAACACACAGCCTGGCCCCATGCAACATTCCTAGGTGACTCACATGCAATGACCATTCACTCAGATTATGGCCAAAATAATTCACCAATGGAAAATGCTTAGAATTAGACTGTGGAACCTACAGGTGAGCAGTAAACGTTTACTATCATTATTTATTATTATTTGTATTACGTTCAATTGCCATGAAGACAGTGAGTAAATAGAAATGACAACAGATTAAAATTGAAAGTATACCAAAAACATGCCAGAGTTAAACATTTTTGATCAATTTAAACTAGCAATAGGTAAAAAGCATTCAAGCATAAATAGACTAATGTGCATTTCTGAACTTGGTTTTTTGTTTTGTTTTGCAGACAGGATCTGGTGGCATTACCAGGTTGTCCTTGAACTCCTGAGTGCAAGCAATATCTGCCCCACGCTGCCAAACAGTCGGGACTGCAGGCACATAATATTTCGTGTAGCTCATTTCTGAATTTTAAGCATTCCAATGACTATTGTTTTGCTGTGCATTTTTATACAATGTTAAATACCACAGTGTATCTTACCAGTCGTTTGCTATAAAGTAATGCTGTACTGCTGCCACTGGAAACTGCCCATTTAGAAAAATGCATGACATGTTCCAGCTGTTTAGAAAGCCCAGCCACTTCCTGCTGCTGTTGCATAAGTTTCATGCGATGATCTTTTGCAAGGCTCTAAAGGGAAGGTAAAATTTCAAAATTAACCTCTGCACTTAACATTCATTTCAATGGTCATATTCAGGTATACAAATTGGAATAATCACCCTTTCAATGGACTCAATTAACAGCAATTGAAAATGTTCTTAATGTTTTCTCCCTTATTAAAAAGGATCATTTTCACCTAACAACAAAAAACTACATTTCAAATGTTGCTTCCCATCCCTTCAAACCAATAGCCTTCCAGTCTGTTTTTACTATTCTGGGCTTTCAGTCTCTTGTTTATGCATCTTGCCAAATACAAATCAGGACAAAAGCAATGGGTTTGGTGGCTCACTCCTGTAATCCTTCCATTCTATTCTGGGAGGCTGAGGCAGGAGGATATAGAAAGTCCAGCCCATCTATGGCAACTTATGGAGACCTAGCCTCAACATTAAAAATGGGATGGGGATGTAGTACAATGAGGGGGACTTGAGTTCAATCCTCAGTACAGAGGGTACAAGGGGGGGGGGCACAAAAGAATGGATTACCTATGAAATTTAACATTCACAAATAAAATAGACCTACTGTCCAGAAATCTGGTGAAGTTATCACTCACATGACTTAAACATCTATAATTTCAACTTTCAGGGATCCTAGTCTCAATTGTAACTAGCTTGTGCCCAGAAACACACTGTGTGGTAAATAACTTATTATTTGGTCTGTATCCAAAAACAACCCAATGACATTATTTCTGCCTACTGAAAATTATCATGGGAGTCAACAGATATAATGAATAATTGTGTTAATGCACTCTCAGAAAAGCAACCAAAAATTTCTTCCTTGACCTGGCAGTGAAAGGGGAAGAGAAAGGAACTTTCTGCTGGCTCAGACAAATTAGAAAACTAAAATTGCTACACCCCAACATGGACTTACAGTCTCAATAAAGGGTGAACTTAGATACCTGCTCTGGTCAGTTCCAAATCTGGATATCATGACAGCTAAACTGAATGACAATTTAAGAGATTGTTAACAATAAATGGCTTTTTGTATTTAAGTTCAAAGGGAAAATAATTTACGTAGTAGGGAATTTATGCCTTCTGTGATGAAAACAGAAATTTGTTGACTTTGGGAGGAAGTTTCAATTTGAAAAACATAAGCCCTAGTGCCTTGCTCTTTTATGGTAACAATTATTTGGGCGTTAGCAAACAAAACTGATTATACATACTTGCCTTAAAAAATCTGTACCAGAAGAATAGATATGAGAACTAGATATCTGAAAGGTACATATATAAAGTCAAAGTTGATTAAAAATAATATTGATAATGAGATTTACTTTTAAGGTTCAACAGTTTGGTTATCTTTATTTTTTTACCCTTTAAAAAAAAAGTTCTTCGGGCCGGGGATTTAAAAATGCTCAGTGGTTCCGGCACCTGCCTTGCAAGCACAAAGTCCAGAGTTCAATCCCTGGTACCAAAAAAAAAAAAAAAAGTTCTTCAAGTGATTCTGACGTACAATAAAGTTTGGAAACATCGTCACAGAGTATATGAATCACTAATCTCTGAGAAAACAAAAGTGAAACTTGTAAAGCAGAGCTTTGTTCAACTTACATGTGTTTTTCTTTTTTAACTGCAGAAGCTTGAAAAACAAAGTTAACTATAAATGGAGTCTAATTTCCTTTCCCCAAAGTATTTCCTCCTAAATATCTGTTTTCAAAAGAAGTTTTTTACTGGGGGCGGGGTACCAGGGATCAAACTCAGGACCTTGTGTTTTCGAGGCAGGCACAGTGCCACTGAGCTAACCCCAGCCCCCAAAGAACAAGAGATTTTAATCTTTGTTTCCTGTATGGCTGATAGACTATGTGAACAATTATGATTTCCCACAAGGGACAGAACATTCTGACAGGCACCTTCAGGAGGCTAACTAAGGTATTTCTGTAAGTCTTATTTTTCCTCAATTCTTCAATACTTGGATTATTTTGTTTTCTTCTCATTCTAAATTGCTTCACAACCATGAATTCTTTCCGCATCAATATACCAAAAAAACACCCACGGTCATTACAAAAATATTTGTAAATTTTAACATACTATATAGAAATTGCAACCTTATTTGAAGTCAAACATGGACTTTAGGCGTTGTCCTTCATGTGTTTAAAAAAGGTGATGAAGATAGCAATGTTTTTTGTTCCCCTGCTGTTAGAAACAACTGTTCTAAATTAACTGCCTTCAACACTGTTCCCTATGTGGTACTTTAAAGATGAAAATTATGGGGCTGGGGATTTAGCTCAGTGGTTCTGCTGCCTGCCTTGCAAGCGCAGGGACCTGAGTTCAATCCCCGGTACCAAAAAAATAAAATTAAATTAAAAAAAAAAGATGAAGATTATAAAATGTTGAGGGCAGGACCTACATTGTTTTACCTAATTTCTCACAAGGTTAAATGTACAATCATGCATTGCTTAATAGTGTGATACACATTACAAGAACTGTGTAATTAAGCAATTTCATCATGGTGTCAATACCAGAGCTAAAACGGCTATGATGTCACTACACAATTCAATCTTACGGGACCACTGTTACACATGTAATACATTGAAAATCATCAATCACTATGTGGTGCACAATTGTACGTATTTGAGAACTAAATATAATTAACAGTGTATCTTTCTAGAAAATTTCACTTAAATCTACCCCTTTGCAATACAAAGGTGTCATTTCAATGAATCTCTACAACGACTCATCTCTCAACATTTGCAGATCTAAAAGCAAAGCTTTGTATTTTGTTCTATGAAACAAACAATGGGGAGTAAGACATCCAGAGAACATTATGAAGCTATAAATATGTAGAATCTGGCAAAGGAAAACTCAAGAATGGAGAAAAATATTAAGTGAATTCTTTCTGCAAGACTTCAAGGTGACACATTAGAAAATATTATGATGAATCAGGACAGAACTACTGCCTCTTGAAAAGTAACTCACCTCTAGCTGATGCAGCAGAGCTTTTCCTTTTTTATTTATTTCTACCATCAACGTAAAGATAGCAACTTTAATATCTTGTTCCACTTGCTTTTGATTTTGGTTTACTTCAATTATTCTGAAAGTTAAATGAAGGGAAGAAAAATATCTAAAAATTGGATGCACATTTTTTCTTGCAATATTTAAAACTGATATTTTAATGTCTAAATTAGATCAAAATGTTCTCAGATCTCTCAATATTTGTTTCAGAGTCCTTCCCTTTACACTGACTCTCTCAAAAAGAGAATGAACACAGTAGAAGAAAACATGGTTGGGCTGGGGATTTAGCTCAGTGGTTCTGCCACCTGCCTTGCAAGCGCAAGGTCCCGAGTTTGATCCCCGGTACCAAAAAAAAAAAAAAAAGAAAAAGAAAACATGGTTGTGGAAGATTATGGTGACACCCAGAATACAGTATACTTAAATGGATAGGCTGGAGAGTGTACTAAACCAGGATTTATAGAAAAGATAAAGAAACTATGATTCTGAACAAGTTTTGCTGTATTCACTGCAACTAAGAGGCAGAAAAGAGTACACATGATAATTTTGATTTTAGGGATGTGGACTGGTATACTGTTCAAGGAAATTTAATACACAGGATAGTCTTTTCAACAAACGGTGTTGAAAGAATGGACATACAGATATTAACATTAAACCTTGGGCTGGGGATGCACCTGGGTGGCAGGGGGCTTGGCTAGCATGCACACATGTGGCCGTGGTTACCGAACCAGCACCAGCTGGGGGGAAAAAGTGAACCTGAACCCACAGCTCATATCACATATACAATGGAAGAATAAGAAAACAGGGTAATCTTTTATTTAAAATTATATCATAATTCCTACTTTTTGCCACTAGATGGTACAAATGCCTTCATTTATCTCTCCTCATTCATTCATTACTCAAAATCAAAAATCTTAAAATGCATCAATACTGTATTTGGCAAAATATACTATTCTGATTAGTATACGGTAATGGAAATCATATTTGATAAACAAAGTTGTTATGTGAAAGCAAACAAAAAGGACAGGGAAAAAAATTTTTTAAAAGGAAAGGGAACTGATAAAGAACTAAAAGACACAATACAATAATAGTAATGTTGATACACAATGCAATGTATAATAATGATGTCAATACAATATATAATAATGACTTACACAATGAATAATAGTTATATAATAATACTAAGACATGAATGAGAAGTGAAGATCACATTTAAGAATCTCTTCTAAGGAAATCAGGAAATATAGGGAGTTACCTAAAAAACCCCCACAAAATCCCAAATTATCAAACTCCACCTATGTTCCAAATGTTCAGAGTAACTTTTTTTTTTTTTTTAATGCCAGGTATTGAACTTGGGACCTTGTGCTTGCGAGGCAGGCTGTGGAACCACTGAGCTAAATCCCTGGCCCCTGTTCAGAGTAAGAGATTATGATGACTGGTCTTAAAAAAGATGAATCAAGATGGATAGAACTTTCCCAATGAACAAAATTCAAAACCCTTGCAAGGCCTCTTTTGTTCTGGCTCTATTAAGCATTCCTTGACCTATTTAGCCAGTGGCATGTGACTTTTGAATGCAAAACAAAAAAAGAACAGGGACACAGGAGTTCATAGGTATCAAGGTGGTAATGAAATTTCCCCGTATACTCCAAATGGGATAAGAAAGAGGTTAGACAAGACGTTCTCCTCCAAAGTTAGTGGTTTACTTCCTAGTCACCGAATTCTGAGATGTGCACCTTTGCACGTCTAAGTTTCTTCTTTGAAAGCCAACAGACCTAACAAGTCATGTCTAGAAACTACACATTGTATCAGGCAATGAATAAAAGGTATGTGAAATAGTTTAACAATCTCTGGTCTCCTCTGGTCCTAAAATGTCCACCTCTTTTCACTTAAAAGATCAAAGCCCAGGAGAAGAATCTCAAATTTCAGCAAACCTAAAACAGCAATCAAATTGGGTGGTGGTAGCATATGTTAATAAACCCAGCACTCTGAGAGGCTGAGGCAGTAGGATCATAAGTTCAAACCCTGCCCGAGCAACTCTGGTAATGAAGTGAGGCCCTGTCTCATAATAAAAAATAAATAAGGGAGCTGGGGATTTAGTTCAGTGGTGCTGCTGCCTGCCTCACAAGTACCAATCTCCAATACCAAAAAATAAAAAAAAAACAAAAAATAAATAAGGGCTGGGATGTATCTCAGTGCAAAGTACTGGTTTCAACCCCCACTACTGGTGTGTATGTGGGGGAATCAAATATTTAATTACTTTACAATACTGGCAAAATGGTTGTGTTTAAATACTGGCATTTTTTTGAAATGGGAAAACACAAGATAATTAAAAATTATCAATGCCTACCAGATAAATGAGCTATTACTATTGTTTATTATAACCCTTTTAAAATTTCAGGGCTCAAAAAAATACTTTCTAACCCAAAGTTTCTAGAAAAGTTTTATCAACCATGTTTTATTAGTCATTGGATAGCTCACTACTTAACAATGAATCAAGAAAAATGTTCTCTAACAAAAATGAGTACACATTTGAGAACCAGACTTCCAGATCACCTACATCAACCCCAAAGGGAAACGAAATGGAACACTCTGATACTCAACCACCTGGACTCCCTGAACTAGCAACCAAAGAGGATCAGGAAAAAATAAAATCAGAAATAATTTTTCACATAACAACAAAGATTGTGCCCATAGTGCAAGACATGATTAATAAATCTACAGTGGATACAGATAAAAAAATAGAGCTGAGGAACATGATGGAATGCCAATATAGGAAAAAAATTGAATCCATAAAACACATGCAAACAGATTTCCAGGAGATTAAAAACTCCACTGAAAGTCTATGCAGCAGAATGAGCCAATGTGTAGACAGAATTTCAGATATAGAAGATAAGATCGCCCTTAGCGACCAGGAAAAGAAAACACGCTTCAAAATTTAAGGGACCACAAGATATCAATTCAGCAGCTGCTAGATGATGTAAAGAAAAATAACATAAGACTGATTGGAGTCAATGAAGAAACAGGAGAGTGGAGATGACATAAAAATACTGTTTACAAAAGTGATGGCAGAAAACTTCCCAAGCAGGGAAAAATAATTTGACATACAGATAAGTAAGGCATATAGGACTCCAACTAGCCTTGATCAAAAAAAATCTACACATAGGCATATAATTGTTAAGATTTCAGAAACCCAAAGGAAGAACAAAATTCTACAAGTAGTTAGAGAAAAGAAACAAGTCACATACAAAGGAAAACCTATCAAAATCACAGCAGAGTTCTCAGAGGAAACCCTCAAGGCAAGAAGAGCTTGCATTGATGTGTTCCAAGCCCTAAAGGAAAACAACCTCCAACCCAGATTGACGTACCCTGCAAAACTCATTCAAAATTGATGGTGAAATAATACACTTTCTTACCATAGGAACTTCATGAATACCAAAGCAGCACTCCAAAAATTTTAGACAAAATCCTAGGAAAAGACAATGAGGATCACAACCCCAGGCAGCCCAGCAGAATGAATCAACCAGGCACGACAAGAAATTAAAAGCAAAAGGGGAGGATCAAACAAAAACAAAAAGTCATGACAATCATAACTCCATACGTATCAGTTATAACCATCAATGTTAATGGTCTCAATTCACCAATAAAAAGGAATAGACTGGCAGAATGGGAAGAAGCAAGATCCAACAATAAGCTGCATGCAAGAAACACACTTAATTCAAAAAGAAACTCATAGACTGAAAGTTAAAGGGTGGAAAATATACTCCATGTGACAGGAACCCGAAAAAAAACAGGAGTAGCTATCCTCTTTGCAGACCAAGTGGATTTCAAATCCACACTGATTAAGAGAGACAAAGAAGGACACTCTATCCTTGTAAAGGGAACAATCCAAGAGGAAGACATGACAATCATAAATATCTATGCACCAAACACTAGTGCAGCCAACTATATAAAACAAATACTAATGGACATGAAAAACCATATAAGCACTAACACAATAGTAGTGGGGGACCTCAATACCCGACTGTCACAAATAGATAGATCAACTAGACAAAAAACAAGCAATGAAATACTAGAACTCAATCAAACTCTTGAATATATGAAATTAACAGATGTTTACAGAGTGTTCCTCCCCACAAAATCAGAATACACATTCTTTTCGGCTGCACACAGGTAATTCTCCAAAATAGACCACATTCTTGCTCATAGAACATGTTTAAGTAAGTGCAAAGGAAATGAAGATATCCCCTGTATATTTCAGACCATAGTGTGATGAAATTGGAGATCAACAGCAAAAGAAACTGCAAAAACTTCATAAACACATGGAAATTGAACACCACATTTCTGAATAAGCAATGGGTCACAGAAGAAATTAAAGAAGAAATCAAACAGTTCCTTCAAATAAATGACAATGACAATGCAACACATCGGAATCTACGGGACACAATGAAAGCAGTCTTACCAGGGAAATTCATAGCACTGAATACTCATATTAGGAAAACAGAGTAAGCCCAATTAAACAACCTCATGCTGAACCTCAAGCTTCTAGAACGAGAGGAGAAGGACAAACCCAAAGCTAATACAAGGGAGGAAATTATAAAGATCAGAGCAGGATCCCTAGCTCCTAGGGCAGAGGTGAGCAGCGTGGGCGCTGCAAGCACCCCCCCCCGCCGACCGGGGAAATGAGAAGACACGTAAACAAGCCTCAAAAACAGACTTCCAGATCACCTACAGCAACCCCAAAGGCAGAGGAGGTGAGCTGCATGGGTGCCAGCAGC